GTGCCTTCAACATAACGCATCTCAATTCTAGTGTCTTTCTAACAAGACACAAATCCAAAACAAATTTTCCAATCCATTCTCCCCTCCCTTAATAATTTATCACTTGGCATTAAAGAAATAGGTTTTTTTTTTCTCTCCCTCAAGAACAACTTTGAGCAGAGAACATAGTGTATCATACAAAATATCACATTGAATGCATTGCAACTGGGAACCACGTGGTCCTGACATTTGCTGCTGTCTTATCTTTACTAGTGCCATGTCCAAAATTTACAATCTGCTGGAACATATTTAGAGTCTACAAATTTGCTTCAGTGACACTCTCTGGTTGTGGGAAACCTCCTTGGGGATATAATTCCTCAGTCCTCACAAAACCAAACGTTCCATCATCATGAAGCCTTGTCATCACCCAGGCTGCAAGTATCAAGGCAGCTGTGAGATGAAACATAAGATTGGTCAGAGGGCAGCTAGGAAAAGATGATAAGAATGTAAGAATCACTAAAATAAATCAGACTCATGACCTAATTGCCTAAGTGCCATTCTCACCTTATAGCATCAATTAAAGTAAAATTGTAGTAACAATTTCTTAGTATAATGGAAGCGAAGAGTACATTTGGTAACTTCTGAATCCTTGCCCTTTTCATTTCTTCTGATTGCCTGATGCCTGCTCCAGATCTGAACCCCCATGTCCTCGCCAACTGTGGAAACATTACCCTTCATACACACAGCTTTGCCCATCCTTTGCAGCTCCCACCTCACAGAGCAACATATATCTTTCAGCGTATAGCTGAAAGGTAGTCCCTTAAGAGACTTTATCTGAAAATACAAGTTAGAGCCGCAGTTCATCTGTTCATCCTCTCCAAGACATTTTAATCTTAGAAGAACTTGCTGATCCATAGGAAAGAATGTCTACCACTGAGATTTTGGCTGACATGTCTGGGGGCTCAAAGGCCATCTCAGAACTTTGGAAATCCCACTAGATGAGCTTTCTCCTTAAGCAGATATTCTCAGCTTTAGGATGGAGCCAGAATGGTGGAACTCACATGACTTTAGACTAAGAAGAGTAAGGAGCTCATGCTATTTCCCCAAGCGATAGCTTAGCAAATCACTTTACTTCCGATCCTCCATTTGTTCATCTGAAAAATGAGATTCAGAGTAGATAAACGGAAGCTCTTCTAAGGATATCACAAATCTGTGACCTACATGAGAGCATTTTACAAACATTAATCACCCTCATTATCAAAATGATGTCAATAATTAAGGAAATACCTTCTGATGAAGTCATCTTTCCAGAATATTTTTTTAAAAGTACATGTGGGGAAATTTTTTCTGGAAAAAGTCAGATAGTAAATCATTTTGGATTTGTAGGTTAGTTTCTATCAACTATGAAACTCTGTAGTTGTAAAGAGAAAGTAGACACAGACAATGTGCAAAGGAGTAGGTCTGGATAGACTTGGCCCACAGAATGATTCCTGTTCTAAAGAAAGGAGTACCAAAATAGGGATATACATTCATTGCAAAATGACAGAGCCAATGTATCCATCTATTTTTAAGCTAAAAGTAAACATGGTATCATTTGTTGATTTGAAATGTAGAATCATTCATTGATTCTATGTCCTAAATCCCTCCAGAGTTCATTCTCCCATCCCCAAATTTACTGATGCCTCCCAAGTGCATCATCTGTCTGTCATTTGGACCATTGTTCTGTTAATCAATCTCTTGCCTTCCAGTTTCCCCTGCTTTAACATCCACTTAAACACATTTTATCCAAAATGCCTAGCCATTTCTTCTTTGGCAAGTGTGTGGCCTAGGGACTACCATTATCAAGACAGACTGGGGGCTGGTTGAAAACAAATTCTTGGGCAGGTGTTGTTGTGCAACAATTTAAGATGTAGCTTGGGACACCCACATCCCTTATGGGATTGTCTGTTTCATGTCCTGGCTTTTCTTCACTTCCTATCCAGCTTTCTGCTGAAGCCATCTGGTGGTTGCCGACACTGGCTCAAGTATTTGGGTGGCTGCCATCCATGTGGGAGACCCAGATGGAGGTCCTGGCTCCTGGCTTTGACCTGGCCTAAACCTGGCTGTTGCAAGCATTTGAGGAGTTAACCAACGGAAGCAGGATCTCTCTTTCTCACTGTCTCTTTCTCTCTGTCACTCTGCCTTTCAAATAAATGAATAAATCTTTAAAAACACAGATGAGCTATACTCATGAAAATATTGGATCACAATTTCTAGGGGTGGGACCTAGAATTCTGCATTTCATTTAAAAAAGTTTTAAATCTACTTAAGAGGCGGAAAAACAGACAGAGGCCAAAAGATAGACAGAAGAGAGCTCCCATCTGCTGGTTCACTCTCCAAATGCCCAGAGTGGCTGGGTCTATGTGAGCTGAAGGCAGGAGCTGAGAACTCAATTCAGGTCTGCACGTGGGGGACAGGGACCCAACCACTTGAACAATCACTTGCTACCTCCTGAGATGTGTATTAGCAGGAAGCAAAAATTGGGAGTGGAACCAGGACTCTAACCCAAGCCCTGTGATATGGGATGCAGATGTCTCAAGTGGCATATTAACCTCTCTGCCTATGAGAGTTTAACCTTTCTCACCCTCCCCCAGTAATCCCCTTGTATAGTAAGCTTTGGGAGCCATGGGCATAGAGGAAAAGATCCAATCTCCATTTCTACTCCTTAGTCCACATTAACAGGGTCAAACTGGTCTACTCACTGATTTTACTGCATGCATAGATCTGGAGAAAATGAGATAGAACTGGTTGTCATGGTAGTTGAGTGTTTCTTCAGGTTTTCTTTGGAAGCATAAGCTGGAACCCCCAGGGGTGCTGTTTGTTTTTGTCTGCGGAGGAATTTTCCCTCCCACAAGCCCAGGCATCAGTCTGTGCTCACAGGCTCCAATGTGTGGGGGAAGGTGGATGACTCTGGGAGGACATGGACTCTGAGTCATGAGCAGGTCCTCTTCACTGGCACTTTTTGTTGGCATTCAGTGAGAAGGCTGATTCTAGGAGGAGGGACCATTTTACCAAATTACAGGGGCAGGGTCTGTATCCCCCAAAGCTGCACTAGTAACTGGCTCAATAAATATTTGCCAGATGAATGCATAACTTGAAGAAGCAATCAATCAGTAAATGAGTAAATGCATAAATAGTTCAGACTTGGGGAGCGAGTGAGCTGAGTACGTTGAAAGGCATTTTTGTTATGCAGGGGCCTGATTTTTGACAGGATAATTCAACACATCTGCTTGTTGGTTTGCTCTTTGGGAATGAGATTCTGGAAAAGGCTGAATATAAGAAATGGCATGAATTATACCTTCTTTCTGTGATTATTCTCTCTGTGATTTCACTATTAACCAAAGCCAATAAATAGCAACCTTTTAATTTATTCATTATTCCTACTGTTGAAATTATGACGAGGCTCCGACATAACAGTTTCCCTCTATCATCATTTTTTTAGAAAAGTAGAACATTCTTTAGAAGCATGTGTGCATGTGGGTGTGGGTCTGTGGTGCCTGGTGTGGGGGAAGAATCATGGAGTCCTGGAAAAAGTCATGCATTCAAGCTCAAAAAGCAAATTGCACCTATTTCAGCAAATTGGAAATTGATGGTGTGTAACTCTGAAGACCTAGCAGTGGCTATCCTTTCCATCCAGGCTATTATTAACTGGTAATATTTCTCTCGTAAATATTCAGTTACCACAGCAACAGGAGTCATGTCATATGGACACAAGGGCTCCCTGACTTTGCCAGAGAAATAGATGACGTTTTAAATAAATTTTTAAAAATGTGAAAAGGCTTGCCAGAAGCAATACTTTTGAGATACTCAACTTCATTTTTACTTGAGATAAAGGAAAGAAAAGAATTTCAATGAAGTGGTAGCTGAATGATTTTTGCGACTTCTACTCCAATATATTGTATCTAGTGTCTTTCCAGCAATATAGAAGTGCCTCTCTTCCTACCTAAGCCAAATACTTCCCTATGCTCAGAGATGCTTACCTCTACTTAGCTGTCTCTACTTCTCAGCTATGCTGTTTTTCAATCCTCTATTTTCAAGCTGTTCCCCCATTATATCTCCCCATCAGTATTAAAAAATCACTATGCGTATACATAAACATACAGATCAAAAAACACAGCTCAATAAAATACTTAAGCTAAGCACACCTAGGTAAAAACTGCACAGTCAGGGCCAGAGCCGCGGCTCAATAGGCTAATCCTCCGCCTTGCGGCGCCGGCACACCAGGTTCTAGTCCTGGTAGGGGTGCCGGATTCTGTCCCAGTTGCCCCTCTTCCAGGACAGCTTCTGCTGTGGCCAGGGAGTGCAGTGGAGGATGGCCCAAGTGCTTGGGCCCTGCACCCCATGGGAGACCAGGAGAAGCACCTGGCTCCTGCCATCAGATCAGCGCGGTGTGCCGGCCACAGCACGCCGGCCACGGCAGCCATTGGAGGGTGAACCAACGGCAAAGGAAGACCTTTCATTCTGTCTCTCTCTCACTGTCCACTCTGCCTGTTAAAAAAAAAAAAACTGCACAGTCAGAAATAGAATATAAGAGTACCCAAAAAAGCTCCCTATAGCTTATTCCATATACTCTCCCACTACCCTAAAAGAAAGCACAGTAAACTGATTATATTTCAATGTGAAATTTATGAAAATGATGTTTTATAGTGTGTTCTTAGTGTCTACCTTCACCCACTCAAAAATATGAATAATAAAATAATCCATGTTATTACATGCAGCAGAAGTCAGTTCATTTCTTTCCTGTTCTAGTTTTATAGGGCTGCTGTTACAAAATACCAGTAATGGGGGGTTTACTCAACAGAAATTTATTTCATGACACTTCTAGGATCTAGAAGTCTGAGATCAAAGTGCTGGTGGGTTTGATTCCTTCTGAAGGCCATGGAGGAGAAATTGTTTCATGCCTTTCAGCTTCTGGAGGGTTGCTGGTAATTTCTAAATTGCAGGCAATTTAGAAAATGGTATTCTCCCTGTGTACATCTCTCTTTTTTGAATGGCATGGTTTTTAGTCATACTGGACTAGAGGACCATTTCACTCCAATATTACTTCATTTTAATTTAACTAATCATATCTCCAGTGACATATATCCAAATAAGATCACATTATGTGGTTCAAACCTTAAAGTTTCATTGCACGTGGTATGGAAAACAATTCAAACCATAGAATGTGCTATAAAATACACACACACACACACATATATATATATAAATCATAAAATTTAACAATTCATGATGTTGTCTTTGCATATTTAGTTGTTCTCAGGTTAAGGCCATGTTACAAATAGATCATGGTCGATATCAGACAAAAACAACATAGAGTTTGTCTTTGGTGTTGTTCTGGGGCCCCTGACTCTATATTTTCCTCCCTCTTCAATGTCTTTTTCCAGCAGGCCGGATCCTATGTTCACTGATTAACAGCTATTAAGAAGTCATTCTCTGATTTGATCTTTAGATGTTGCCTCTGTCCATACTTCCCTTTAGAAAGAGATTCTAGATCAGTAAACCTTCAAGCTCAGTGAAATGAATATCAATATATGCAACAAATATTTGGAGGAAGCTTGGTGTGTTATGAGGTTTTCACAAGTCAAACAAAGTAAAGTGATGATGATTTTCATTACGTGATCTGACATAGACATAACATGCTAATAGATATCACAGAATAAAATGGTCATAGATTTGCATCCGTGATTGCCACAACAAGCATGCCCCCCACACACACAAAGTAATACCCACCTTGAATATCAGAAACATAGGGGCTAGTGTTATGGTATTCCAGGTTAAGCCACCACTTGAGATATCAGCATCTGTTATGAGTGCCAGTTGAAGTTCTGGCTGCTCCACTTCTGATCCAGCTCCCTGAGAGTCCACCTGGGAACGCAGCAAGAGATGGCTTAAGTGCTTTGGCCCCTGCTCCTCATGCGGGAAATCCAGACGGAACTGCAGAAACCGAGTTTCATCCTGGCCCAGTCCTGGCCACTGCAGCCATCTGGGGAGTAAACCAGTGGATATATGATCTCTCTCTCTCTCTCTCTCTCTCTCCCTCTCTCCATCCCTCCCTCCTTCACCTCCTCGCCCCTCCCCTTCTTTGTAACTCCACATTTCAGATAAATAAATAAATCTTCAAAAATAGTAGGAACTTAGAAATAAAAGCCATTATTCCAAAGGTCTGGGAGTCAAGTGAAACTTTGCTGAGCCAGAATGGACGCCCGCTTCAGGCAGGAATATGTGGTTGGTTTAGTTATACCTGTGTTTCTTCTGAGTTCCAAAGTTCAAGGGCAAGAAAAGCAAGGTTAGTGTACAGATATGTTTCTCTTTGGCTTCCATCTGCCAATACTTCGGTAGCTAAGATATGTCACATGACTGAATACCCTTCAGTGGGACAGGGAGATATATTCCTACCATGGAGACGAGGGGAGTGAATATTTGCTGAGCACGGAGGAAATTTACCACAGGAAAGATAAGAAGCTTCTATGGTTAATGGTGGGGAAAAGAACTGGAATTATTTATCTTTAGTCTGATGATTGCCTCAGGTCAGCTAAGGATTTCCAGCCCACAGAGTTCTCTGATGAGTTGACAATATATAACAGTGGTGATTAGTCTCCTAGGACTACCACAACAGATACCACAGGCTGGTTGATTTAAATAGCAGAAATTAATTTTCTCACAATTCTGGAGGCTGCAGGCCAAGATCAAAAGGTGGGCAGGGCTGTTTCTTCTGAGAACTTTCCTTTTGGTTTGCAGGTGGCCACTTTGGTCTTTCCTCTGTACCCAAGTCCAACAGTTGCATTGGATTAGGACCCACCCTAATGACTTCATTTTAACTCAATTTCCCCTTGAAAGGCCTTGTCTCCAAATATGGATACATTCAGAAGTCTTGAAGGTTGAGATTTCAACATAAGAAATACAGGCTTTATGATTCTTGACCATAACAGTGGCCAAAAGCAAAGACTCTGGAATCAAACAGAAGTGGGTTTGAAACCTGCATACATCTCCAAGGCTCAATTTTCCCGTCTCTAAGATTGAAGATCATAACATCTCAGCAAATGGTTGTGCAATTGTTTTCAGGAGTAAATAAAACAATTCACACAAATATCATATTATCTGACATAATATAGTAAAACTCACAAGTGATGATGGCTGCTGTTATTATTTTATTATTAAAATATACTAATAAGGAATATTCTATGCACCAGGCATCACAGGCAACAAATACTTAGCAACAAATACACAGAGGCCAGTGCTGTGGCATAGTGGTTGCATAGTGGATAAAGCCGTTGCCTTTGCATTCCATAATGGCACCATTTTGGGTCCCGGCTGCTCTAATTCTGATCCAACTCTCTGCTATGGCCTGGGAAAGTAGTAGAACACGGTCCAAGTCTTTGGGCCCCTGCATCCACCTGGGAAACTCAGAAGAAGGTCCTGGCTCCTGGATTTGGATTGGCACAGCTCCAGCTCCGGCAGTTGCAACCATTTGGGAAGTAAACCAGTGGATGGAATATCTCTCTCTCTCTCTCTCTCTCTCTCTCTCCCCCTCCCTCTCTGCCTCTGCCTCTGCCTCTCTGTAACTCTGTCTTTCAAATAATTAAGTAAATCTTTAAAAAAATTAAAAGAGAGAAGCCAATTACAAAGTGCTTACTGTGTTACATTACAGGGATGGGGATTTGACCTATTGGTTCTGCATCTCCTAAGGGAAGGCCCAGGATCATGTCATCACTCTGGTCCCAAGTACAGGTTCCTGCTAATGCACCCTTAAAAGCAGTGGTGACTGTTCAAGTATGTGGGTTCCTGCCACCCACGTGACAAATCTGAATTGAGCTCCACGCCACTGGCTTTGGCTTAGGCCAGCCCTGACTCGTGTGAGCCTTTGCAGAGTGAACTAGCATTTGGGAGATCTCTCTCTCTATCTCTACCTCTCATCCTCTTTCCTTCCTTCCTTTTCAAATTAAAAAAAAAAAGTGTGCCACAGCATCAAAGAAAATAATATACCTTAATTTGTAGGCCAAGAGCACATACTAACTGCTATTAAGTCTTTTCATGGTAACTTATTCAGAGGAAAAAGACTAAGAAAACTTCCCTGCAAAGGTTTTCTTAACTAGATCACAGACAGTTGTGTGGGTTTTGTAGCTAATGAAACTGGGGCACATGGAAGTTTCATGATTTTACTGTCAACTTGGAGTTATCGGAAGATAAGCTACTACTGGAATCTGGTCTTTTCCTACAAGTGTGGGTCCCAGCTATAAACTGAACTGACTTTACTTCTGCCTTTGCTTTGATGATCATACACAGCTTGATTGGAAAGTTGCACTCTGTAATTTCACAGTGATTACATGCCCCTGAAGATCATTTTGTAAGTAAATGTTTTGAAACCAAAGATAATCATTGTTATACAACCATAACCCTTTTTCTTATGCCATATTCTCCACCAAGAATTTAACCAAGCTGAAGTTGCACTTCAGAGTCTCCGTAGCTGGCCCGAGGTTCTGCTGCTCTGCGTTTCTGGAGTTCTAATGCCAAGGCTCTATCTGGAGATGAATTACGGTGCTCTGTCCTGCAGGATAACCTCTTCCCTTCCCACTGAGGAGCAAATGTGCAGAAAGCTGCCGCAGTGCTCTCAGCACAGGCGTTGGCAAATATAACAGCTAAGATGAGTCAGAACAGAGACCTTGCATAATAAGACATTCGAAAGTAGAACATCCTGTCCAGAGCTCTGAAATATGCCCCAGCTATCTGGATATTACAAACGTCCTCTCTTCTGATAAATTTCTAATTGCTTGGCCACATTATCTCCAGGAACATCTCCAGGTTCAAGAGTTCTCCACTCTAGGTTAATAATTCAGAGATACCCCTACCTAATACCTCTAAGGGCAGCTTGTGATGTTGGCCTTTCTTAGTTCTGTAGTGTTAAAGCACTTTTATAATATTAAACAAGTAAATAGTGCCTCTAGATCTAGGTAATCTACATTTCTTGCATTTTCAAATCTACCTGGGAAAGTAATAAAAATTTAAGTTATGTCCTCTTATAGACTTACAGAATAAATAAATCTTAGTGACATCACACACCACAGCCTATTCCTACTTTGATCAATAGACTGTGATTTCCTTCCAGCACCCCTAAACCACCACCACAACCATATACAGCCCAGTCTCGAACTAACTTCTAGGAACAATCATGGTGATGCCCTCTCTAGGTAAATAATAGATACATAAATTAGGCTTAATCAATATCTCCTGGGATTTTGAATTTATAGAGCTATGCAAGCTCAGAAAGTAGCACAATTATTTCAGCTACAGTGTCCTGATGAAATTACTAATTAAGCAGTTGTTTGTGCATTTCCTGTATAGTGCCACTTTTTAAACATATTCTCCAGATTTCCCTTCAGTGAGCTACCTAGTACCATCATGTAATCAGTTTGTATTACTTTTGTGTGTGTGTGTGCATGTGTGTTCATATATATAACTAGTACCAGTTTCATCATCGTGTCAATAGGCACAGCTAAGTGTAAGTTTTCATAACACACCAAATTTCACTCTACATAAGCTCCCATAGTACATAGAAACATTTATACAAATTATTCCCTATGAATAGACTTCAAGGGCCTATAATTTCTTAAGTTATAACTAATTCAAACAACCTTTGATAATGACCTGTACTAATTCTCTATGCCAAAAAAGAAATATGTATCAAACAAATCCCTCTATAGATTAGCATGCAAACTCGGCCCCACATCCATATTGCTTTACAGATTAAATCACTAATTCTGAATACCTACAGACACCTCAGATATCATGAATATTTTAACAATGGTGAATATGTGCTTTTCCTTTACCGTCATAATAAAAGTTTTGAAATAAATAGCTATAGACTTAATTCTGCAATGGGTAAATCATCCTATTAGGATTTTTGTTACCTTTGACTTTTTCTCTCTTGGCAAAATCCTAGGCTATGAATTCTATCTGATACATGAATTGCAGAGTACATAGTCTTGGGGATGAGATCAGATGTGGCTCTTCTGATGGCTTTATAGGTCATTATTCATCTTGTCCAATATCTCCTTCTCCAGAGGGCTACAGGAAAAAAAGAATCACAAATAAGCTTTTGTTTTTAGTATCATAAAGACCTAAAGTTGAAAAGAATCACAAAAAACATGATATTCTCTAAACCATGCCATATTGGCATCTTGAGTTTTATTAGTCAAGTTATTTTATTCTTACTTATGGTCTATATCTATGTCTAAGTCAAAAACTGAACCTATTAATCAAAGTCTACAGACCTAAAACAGACCTCAAGGAAATAATTAAAATGGGAAAGTGTAAGTTGTAGGTGCAGCAACTATCATGAATTTTGGAGACTTCATTTCACAGAGCACATGAAGGTTAATCCGTTGGGGACACCCTGGTTAATGAATGGGCCAGGTCCTTTATGAAGCAGGACAGAGAGAAATATAGAAGATTTATCTCGATTCTGTCACTTAACATAGTGTAGTCTTACTAGATTATTTATTAAATAAGAATAAAATTTACAGTTTACTAAAAAAAAGAGACAGAAAAACCTATGAGATGGTTTCTCTAATAGTTCACAGACGTCATATTTTATGAGTTCATTGGTTTTATTTAGGAAAAATATTCACAAATATACTACGCACACTTCTTTTTCCATAAAATATATTTCAACCAGAAATTAACATTTATATTGGTTTAACTTTTGTTTGTCTTTTAGATTATTCTAACAAGCCTTTGAATTTATAAATTCATGTGTACAATACAGTTTTTTAACTTTCATTTAATGAATATAAATTTCCAAAGTACAGCTTATGGATTATAATGGTCCCCCCCCCATAACTTCCCTCCCACCCGCAACACTCTCCTTTCCTGCTCCCTCTCCTCTTCCATTCACATCAAGATTCATTTTCCATTCTCTTTATATACAGAAGATCAGTTTAGTATATATTAAGATTTCAACAGTTTGCATCCACATAGAAACACAAAGTGAAAAATACTATTTGAGTACTAATTATTCAATAGTTATAGCATTAAATCACAATGTACAGCACATTACGGACAGAGATCCTACATGAGGAGTAAGTGCACAGTGACTCCTGTTGTTGACTTAACAAATTGACACTCTTGTTTATGGCATCAGTAATCATCTGAGGCTCTATGGAAGCCTTTTGAGTTCGCCAAATCCGATCATATTTAGACAAGGTTATAGTCAAAGTGGAAGTTCTCTCCTCCCTTCAGAGAAAGGTACCTCCTTCTTTGATGACCTGTTCTTTTCACTGGGATCTCACTCGCGGAGATATTTCATTTAGGTTTTTTGTTTGTTTGTTTGTTTGTTTTTTGGATTTCCATGCCTGTAATACTCTCATGGGCTTTTCAGCCAGATCCTCATGCCTTAAGGGCTGATTCTGAGGCCAGAGTGCTGTTTAGGACATCTGCCATTCTATGGATCTGCTGTGTATCTCACTTCCCATGTTGGATCGTTCTCTCCGTTTTTTATTCTATCAGCTAGTATTTGCAGACACTAGTCTTGTTTATGTGATCCCTTTGGATCTTAGTCCTATCATTATGATCAATTGTGAACAGAAATTGATCACCAGGACTAGTGAGATGACATTGGTACATGCCACCTTGATGGGATTGAATTGGAATCCCCTGGTATGTTTCTAACTCTACCGTTTGAGGCAAGTCAGCTTGAGCATGTCCCGAATTGCACATCTCTTCCCTCTCTTATTCCCTTCTTATTTCAACACTTGAGAATAGCTGTGTATTGATTACAGTATTCAACCAAAAGTATTAAGTAGAACAAACAAAAAAAATACTAAGAGGGATAACGTATTAAGTTGTTCATTAACAGTCAGGGCAAGGGCTGATCAAGTCACCGTTTCTCATAGTGTTCATTTCACTTTAACAGGTTTCCTTTTTGGTGCTTGGTTAGTTGTCACCAATCAGGGAGAACATATGGTATTTGTGCCTGTTGGACATTTGGATTTTCTCTTTTGAAAAATGTCTATTGAGGTCCTTGGCCCATGGCTCAAGTGGGTTGTTTGTTTGTTGTTGTGGAGTTTCCTGATCTTTTTGTAGATTCTTGTTATTAATCCTTTATCTGTAGCATAGCTTGCAAATATTTTTTTCCAATTCTATCGGTTGCCTCTTCACTTGCCTGACTGTTTCTTTTGCAGTACAGAAACTTCTCAATTCCAAGGACGTTAAAGATCTCTATGATGAGAATTACAAAATCTTAAAGAAAGAAATAGAAGAGGATACCAAAAATGGAAAAATCTTCCATGCTCATGGATTGGAAGAATCAACATCATCAAAATGTCCATTCTCCCAAAAGCAATTTATAGATTCAGTTCGATACCAATCAAGATACCAAAGATATTCTTCTCTGATCTAGAAAAAATGATGCTGAAATTCATATGGAGACGCAGGAGACCTCAAATAGCTAAAGCAATTTTGTACAACAGAAACAAAGCCGGAGGCATCACAATACCAGGACATAGTACAGGGCAGTTGTAATCAAAACAGCATGGTATTGGTACAGAAACAGATGGATAGACCAATGGAACAGAATAGAAACACCAGAAATTAACCCAAACATCTACATCAACTTATATTTGATCAAGGATCTAAAACCAATTCCTGGAGCAAGGACAGTCTATTCAATAAATGGTGCTGGGAAAACTGGATTTCCATTTGCAGAAGTATGAAGCAAGACCTCTACCTTACACCTTACACAAAAATCCACTCAGCATGGATTAAAGACCTAAATCTACGACCCGACACCATCAAATTATTAGAGAACATTCGAGAAACCCTGCAAGATATCAGCACCGGCAAAGACTTCGTGGAAAAGACCCTAGAGGCACAGACAGTCAAAGCCAAAATTAACTATTGGGATTGTATCATGTGTATAATATATTTTAATTGTGTTATTTCTGTGTCATTTACTTCTATTTTAGCTTGCCTTTGAATTAATATTTATATCTCAATTTTCTTGTGAATATAAACCAAAGATGGTATTTATGGAAGCTATTTAATAAAATATGTCAGTTACTGCTAAATAAGTAATGAAGATCATAGCATCATGTAAATAATGGGACTATCAATATTATGGATTAAAATCTGATACTTGGCTTCAGGCATGTAAGACACAATTTTTTAATGATTACATGGAGTGGTGCATCCTTTAACACTGGGACATGTTCTGAAAAATGCACTGTTAGATACTTTTGGTGTTTTGCAAACCACAAATGTGCTTACACAAACAGGTGACTACAACATCACTAGGCAATATAATCTATAAAATATGTAATTTTTCATATACTGAAATGTCATTATGTGTCTCTTGAGTATGTATTCTGGCATACATACTCATATGCGTGAATTTCAATTTTGTTTACAACAAAATAAACTGATCTTTTAAATTCCATTTTTCTATGAACTTTTTTGAGAAAATCAAAGGAAGGCGGCCTATGCAAAGCATTCTTCCATTTCCTACTCACTCAGCAAATTTCCAACCAATGGAGCTTTATTTGTAAGAAGTATTGGTTGAGTTCAAGCCAGACTCAGTTTTCAACTGGGTAATGGTCTCCAATGGATCACTATATGTTAGTAAAGTAGGCTAAATCATGGTTGCCTCAAAGATGTCCATATCCCTGGAAGCTGTGTCTATATTACTTTAAAAGACAAAATATTCCTTGCAGATGTGATTAAATTAAAGATCTTAAAACGTAGAGTGATATAACCCAGGTAGATCCCATGCAATCACAAATATCCTTACAAAAAGGAGGCCAGATTATTAGCAGATGTGATGAGAAAACAGAATTGAGAAAGGGGCAGAGTTCTGAAGATGTTACAGTGTTGATTCTGAACACGGAGAAAATGCAAGAGCCAACAAATGTGTGTGTCTCTGAAGCTTAAAAATAAGGAAATAGATCATCCTATACAACTTCCAGAAAGAACCAGCCATCCAGCATCTCAACTTGAACCCAGTGAGAGTGACTTTGCACTTTTGACATCTTGAACCATAAGATGATAAATTCATGTTAAGTCACTAAATTTGCAGTGATTTGTCACAACAGGAATAAGGAACTGATGCCACTTAGGTTGGGGTGGAATAGAACTCAAAGCTTGTCCTCTTTCATCCCCCACCTCCATGAGAAGACTCTTATCTCTGTCCCTTGATGAAGGATTTGGCTATGTGAGTCTTGACCAAGAAGATGTTAGTGAAGGAAGCATCTAGAATGTGACCAAGTTTTCTGTGTAATTGGTCTTGCTGTCTTGCACCACTGTCATTACTGTGAGAAGAGCTGACCACAGTAAGGTTCCACTCCTTTAGCCAGGACTCTAGCACAAAAAGGCATGCAACAGACTGCCCCAGTAAAGTCCAGCTGTACTATCCCATCAAACAGCCTGAATCAGCCACCCCACAAGATAAGCCATATATCCTTAAAATCAATGAGTTTTGGAAAACCCCTAACTTTGAGGGCCATCACCGACACAGCATTTTGGTGGCAATATTTGAGGGGTACACAGATCATCCTTAAGCACAGGAAATGACACCTTCAAGGAACGTGTCTCCCCTTCCTTCTAATCCATGAAGACTGAGTACGCAATGCCATATGCCTAACAAAGTTCTCTCTTGGCTGCACAATCCTCATATGTAAGCAACTGTTGAGACACTGCAGATCCTGGAGAGGACCACAGTCTCCACAGGAGCAATGCCATGGGGATGGGAGCTCAGTTTCCCCAAAGCTATGGGCATCTCTATGTTAGGTTACCTGTTACTCTTGTTGTCAGCCTTCTAGAGAATGTTTTTATAACTGAGTTAGAAGGTTTTTTTTTTATTATTATTATTATTCCTGAAGGTAGAATATCAAAGAAGCTTAAAGTGCTAATGTACATTTAAATGTGGCACTTTTAACATTCTCTAGAGTTCTCAGTTGTGATAAGGAAATACATACAGGGGTTGGTGCTGTGGTGTAGTGGGTAAAGCCACCGTCTGCAGTGCTGGCATTCCATACTGGTGCTGGTTTCAGTTCCAGTTGCTCCACTTCCAATCCAGCTCTCTGCTGATGGCCTGGGAAAGCAATAGAAGATGGTGACTTTTTTTTTTCAGTAACCCATGTGTTTTCCTAGTGCTGTGGTCTTCCTACACCTTTCTACTCTAAGGCTGGTGAGACTCAGAGGTTTGGAGTCCTCCTGCAGTTACATCGTCAGTGTGGCAGACACAGGAGTAGAACCTGGTCTCCTAACACTCGTGGTGCAGTTCTTTACCCTGCAGATGATCTTGCTTGCCCATAAGTCCCAGAATAAAGAATAAGGAAACATCTTGATCATCACAACTGACTTAAGTAGTGACAGTAAATTATATTTATCAGCTACCATTTTTCCAGAGTCACAAAATAAAATTTGACATTGTTTTCAGATAACCCCAAAAGGCTTTGCAGTTTAAACTTTGATGTCTGTCCCTTATTTCTCCCTAATCTGCCTCTTCTGTTGTCATGTGGAAACCTCATCTGGTACACACTGTGTTCATGTTGACTTGCCTTGTAATCAATTTTCATTTTTCAATCTAAAAGCAAAGTTTCTGGGGAAAAATGAGGTTTTTCACTCTTTTCATGGCAATGATTTTTAGAAAAATAAATGATAGCAGCTTCCATATTTATATTTCTCAACAAACTTGTCATCAAAAGTTTTCAAAGAGTCCTTATTAATTACTTTCAGCCATTCCTTCCATGCAAATAAGGAGACCTTGAAATGATTGAGCTGTGGTGGAGTAAATGGCAAAATTGAAAATAATATTGCAGTTTTTCAAAGAATTGAGGGGGTCCTTCAATAATTTCTGCATACTAGGGGATCAGCCATTTCTGAAGAGGGACAGAGGAATAAAAGTCATCTTATGTTCAAAGCAGAAAAAAAAAAGGAAAAGAAGTGGGGGCTGGGAAGAGGAGTATCATCTTTGAACAGATTTAGGAAAAGAAATTTATATTTAATAGTTTATCATCTACTGATTTTAATCTAGTGGATATTTCGTGAACATTTTACTGAAATCAATAGGTAATAAGCAGTGGAGAAAATTAAAATTGGAAGTTAAATCCTTCCATGTGTGTGTGTGTGTGTGGATATGTCCTTGCATGTGTTTTCTTTGAATAGACAAACCAGCTTGTAATGTCTTTCATCTGAAACCTGCCTTGGCACGAGATTGCCCTTATAGAACTCAGGATAAACTACTTAGGTGGGATTTCTGGATTGTTTGCTGGAAATGTGATTGCAATCTGCCCTTGATTTCCTGTGTAATCTTGAAAACTTAATCTCTGTACCCTGTTTCCTCATCAGTAACTTTATTCAAATGTGTATGGGGGTGGGATGGGGTAAGCGGTCAATAGGAGGTCAAAGCACAAAGAGGGAAATACAAGGGATCCTTTTTTAAAAAAAGAATATTAATGAGATGGCCTGAATATCTCATCAAGCCTGAATGGGCCACACAGCTTTGCTGAGAGAAGTCATCCTCAAAAGTAAGAAAAAAGATTTTGCAGGTGCATAAATCTATATACTCCAAAACCATTGTAATTCTTCTTTAAACTTAGGCTCCAAAGAAGATATAGAATTCAGGATGAATGGCATGTGTTGCACATATCCATGAGATTCTCATCTACTGAAACCATGAAGCAATGAGCTTCAAAGAAGGGGAGCAGGAGTTGGAATCTAATTCAAACCATGTTAGTTTTCTTAATGTGACCATGAAACAATGATTTTTCTTTTAATGTTTATTGTTTTTAATTTTTTAAGATAAACAAATTTCGTGTATTTCATATAAATCAATTTAGGAACATAGTGATACATCCCACCCCACCTCTCTCCCACCCATGCGCCCACACACTTCCTCCTCCTTCCTCTCTGATTCCCTCTCTTAGTTTTTGCAATGATCTATTTTCAATTCCCTTTATACTCATAAGTTTAACCCTACACTAAGTAGGAGTTCAATGAATAGAAATAAGAAAAAAAATTGTTCTTCTATAGCAAAGACAAGAGTTGTAAACAATCATCAAATCTCATCAATCATATCGTAGCTATTATGAAATGAGCTGCAATAAACATGGGGGTACATATAACTCTTTCTTATGCTGATTTCATTTCATTTGGGTAAATTCCCAGGAGTGGGATGGCTGGGTTATGTAGTAGATTTATTTTCAGATTTCTGAGGTAGCTCTATATTGTCTTCTACAATGTCTGTACTAGTTTATATTCCCATCAACAGTGGATTAGGACACGTTTTTCCCCACATCCTTGCCAGAATTTATTGTTTGTTGGTTTCTGTAAGAAAGCCATTCTAACTGGAGTGAGGTGAAATCTTATTGGGGTTTTTATTTGCATTTCCCTGTAGGCTAGTGTTCCTGAGCATATTTTCAGAAACAATTATTTTCAACTCTAACTTTACATTGCAATCTTTTATAGGTCTTTTAAGAAACATAGATATTTGGAGTGCACACCTAAACTGCTGAATCAGAATTTCTAGGCATATTCTTAAGTCTACACAGAAAATTTTAACAAGCAGCCAAAATGTGAAAAAAAAAATTCAGAACTGTGTGATTACGATTGTTTTGGAAGACATACAGAGCACTGTAATCATGGACTACTACTTTTGCTTGCTTGTTTCTGAAACACTAAGTAGACACAGTATTATTTTAGTTGTGTTGAATTTTTTAATAGATATTTCCCTATCTGACATGGTCACAAATGCTACTTCATATTTCAATTCCTTTTCACCCCACCAATGGCTCAATAGAAACGTAACCCTTGAAAATACCTTCCTCTGACTCAAGATTTCTCTCCCTTGGCACTACTGATATTTCAGGTCAGATAATTCTATATTATTCAGTCTGTCCTGAGCATGGTAGGATTTGTGACAGTATCCTGTCCTCCTCCCACTGGATGCTAATACTCGTAGCATATCACTTCACTTTGGCTGTGACAACTAAAATATCTCCCATCATTACCAAATGTCTCCTTGAGGGACAAAATCAGCTTCAGTTGAGAATGGTCTCTGTTTGAAAAGAAGAAACACATCATAACAATTGAATTGCATTAAATATTTCTTACCTGCTAAGATTTCCTGTAAGTGGCTCCCTCATATTATTGAAAAAAGGACCCTAAGGAACTGTTCCAGTGTCAATAGGATTTAGTTAGTTCTCCATAACAATGAGTTCTTTTTACTGGTTCTGTCAATTGGTGCCATCCAGTTCTACTTGTACCTTTTTTTTTTTTTTTCATAGGCAGAGTTAGACTGTGAGAGAGAGACAGAGAGAAAGATCTTCCTTCCATTGGTTCACCCGTAATGGCCACTAGGGCCGGCGCGCTGCGCCGATCCAAAGCCAGGAGCCAGGCACTTCCTCCTGGTCTCCCATGTGGGTGCAGGGCCCAAGCACTTGGGCCATCCTCCACAGACTTCCTGGGCCACAGCAGAGAGCTGGACTGGAAGAAGAGCAACTAGGACAGAACCGGCGCCCCAACTGGGACTAGAACCCAGTGTGCCGGCACCGCAGGCAGAAGATTAGCCTAGTGAGCCACGGCACCGGCCCCTACCTGTACTCTTACAGCCCTTACTGTCTCTGCCACCATAACATACATACATACTGCTCCATCCCACCAACTCTAGCATAATAAAGCAACTGCTAGAATCATTCTTTTCCTTCCGTGAACCTCTCCTGTAAACTCCACTCCACAAGTCAGGTCCACCTGAGAGAACTAACTGCTGGGGCCTCAGTGTCAAGCTTCACTATGACCTTGGCTCATAAATCTGGCAGACCTATAAAAAGTAAAATTATTATTTTCATTGTGGCTATTCATTTACCATATTGTCCCCTAATCAATAGCAGTAAGAGATTTCTTTTTTGCAGTCCTAGATAGATAGGTACCATCTGGAACAATGAAGCTATTGGAAACACTAGAGAGATTTGCTAAATCTATGGCAGAAGCAGATACCTTGAAAGCCAACATCACACATAAACTCAACTTGGGACCAAAATTACTCACAAGAGGCAGGGAAGAAAATGAGAAACAGAATTTTGAACTGACAAAGTTTAAATACTAAGTTTTATATTTATATATAAAATATATAAATTCAAGAAGATTAGTTAACTTAAATTGGAAGATAAAATTTTCCTTAGCTGGAAGGATGCTAGCATAGTGAATCTTGGGTATAGAGAAGCTAATTTCAAAGTTACATATTTGCTACAAAGTGAACTTTTATAACTGTGGTAACTGTTTAATAACAATTTCCCTTCACTGAATAAGCAGACTGGATTCCAGGGCCACTTTTTTTTTTTTGTCTCCAAGATTGGTAAAAGCATTTAATACTTTTGAGTTGACAAAGTGCTTCCTTCCTAATTATTTCAGGGATCATCTCAATAATTATTTCAATAATCATCTCCACTTTGATTTTGAGAATCAGACAAGAAAGATGAAGTAGTTTTCCCAAAGTTAATAAATGATAGCCCTCTGACTAACATACTAATCTTGATTCTCAGCATGGTGTACACTGCAACCTGGCAGTTAAGTATTCCAAATTTTCTTTAGTTGACAGAATCAGTTTTACGAATGCCTTAGATTATAGGTTAATCAAATCAGGGGAGCACTTGTCAATGTTGGTTCATTTGCTGTTGATTGATATTTTACAGAGCAATATCAAAAGTGGCACAGGTGGAAGTTAGATCATTGTGAGATTTTCAGAATGTTGTTGTTGGCTTCAAAACAATTCTTTTTCTTTTACTCAGCACCACTTTCTCTTGCCAGATTCCTGGTTTGGCCTTCTTTGCATTCTGTATTATTTTGTTCTACTCTGCTTCCCTGGGATAAGCCTCAGCATGCACAGAAAGTCTCAGTGGGAACTTTAGAGCCCGGTACTGATTGGGAAGCCATCTCACCTCTTCCCCTAAACGTCAGCATGTAATGGAATCATTGGCACTCATGCCCAAATGTGAACATGGGTTGAATTTTATATTCCACTCTAATGACTACAAGCAAATACCTGTCATTCTTCTTCCTGTCCTCACCCTTCCCAAGGATCTATAAAAAGGGAGGGGACAGGTGGGGTTTTCCCCTTTTCATAAATCATATTTCCTGGAGTTTACTATTATTTCAAAGGGAAATAATCTACTAATTGACAATTAATATATGAAGTGATCTTTTCACAGAAATTTCCCAGAGCTTTCTGGTAAATAGAAATATTTTCCAAATGTATTATAGGGAAGCAGAACATCCCTACTGAGTTCTCTTCTAATTCAGGAATATTTAGGTCATCATCTCCTCTGATTCTGATACAAAAATTTCCATCCAATATAAATGGCAACTGCTTAATATTAGCTAGGACTAAAAAAATTCTGAGACAAAATACAATTAGTGCCCTATTTTATTAGCTGGATATTATGCCCATTCTTTCACTGTTAAACTTAAGTTTAGTGAATTTTGCCAAAAGCAAGAATTAGAAAACAAATTTACCAAATAAAATACTCAGTAAGCTGGGGTAGAGAAGAGAGGAGAGAGAAAGGAGGGGCAGAGAATTTAGACAACAGAAAACATGTCATTATTGTCTGTGTCAGTACAGAAGTAAAATCATTACAGTTATAAATTTAGTTTCTCCTAACCTCTTGTGGGTTGGTAAAACAGGAGAAACAAAACCTTAAATCCATAGTTTTCATCCTACAATTCTGTTAACACAATCCTGATTGCTATTTCTATCAAAGCTCTTGGAGATGTTAGAGGACTGTGTCTGTGACTGTTTGGGCAAGCTTATCTTATTTCTCCACTACCTGTGTCCAAGGCATCTTCCTTGGCTCCCTCACATACAGAACTTCAATTAACATCCTTACACACATGTTTCAAAAGTATGCAGATCTTATATGCCCAAACTGAAGCAGTTATTTGATAAATAAGTCAAACTGAACAAGCACCAGAAATTCCTGATACGTGATATGTTATACCTGACCAAAACTGTGTTTCACAAGTAAATGCAAAAATAGAGTAGGACACTTAGAAAAACTAAATGAACCACATGATGATGGAGATAGAAATAAATATTTTAGACTGTTGATGAGCAGCTTAATATGTTATCCCTCTTAGTATTTTTTTGTTTGTTCTACTTAATACTTTTGGTTGAATACTGTAATCAATACACAATTCTTCTTAAGTGCTGAAACTTAACTGAAAAGTGAGCGCTGTTAAATATAAGAGTGGGAATAAGAGAGGGAAGAGATGTGCAATTCGGGACATGCTCAAGCTGACTTACCTCAAACGGTAGAGTTAGAAACATACCAGGGGATTCCAATTCAATCCCATCAAGGTGGCATGTACCAATGTCATCTCACTAGTCCTGGTGATCAATTTCTGTTCACAATTGATCATAATGATAGGACTAAGAGCCAAAGGGATCACATAAACAAGACTATTGTCTGCAAATACTAGCTGATAGAATAAAAAAGGGAGAGAACGATCCAACATGGGAAGTGAGATACACAGCAGACCCATAGAATGGCAGATGCTGCCATAGAATGGCAGCACTCTGGCCTCAGAATCAGCCCTTAAGGCATGAGGATCTGGTTGAAATGCCCATGAGACAATTTCAGGCATGGAAAGCCAAGACACTCTGGGGGGAAAAAAAAAACCTAAATGAAAGATCTCCACAAGTGAGATCCCAGTGGAAAGAACGGGTCATCAAAGAAGGAGGTACCTTTCTCTGAAGGGAGGAGAGAACTTCCACTTTGACCATAGCCTTGTCTAAATATGATCAGAGTCGGTGAACTCAGGGGGCTTCCATAGCCTTGGCAGCTCATGACAAGAGCCTAGGGTGATTACTGATGCCGTAAACAAGAGTGTCAATTTGTTAAGTCAACAACAGGAGTCACTGTGCACTTACTCCTCATGTAGGGTCTCTGTCCTTAGTGTGCTGTACATTAAGATCTAATGCTATAGCTAGTACTCAAACAGTATTTTTCACTTTATGTTTCTGTGTGGGAGCAAACTGTTGAAATCTTTACTTAATGTATGCTAAACTGATCTTCTGTATATAAAGAGAATCAAAAATGAATCTTGATGTGAATGGAAGGGGAGAGGGAGTGGATAAGGGGAGGGTTGCGGGTTGGAGGGATGTTATGGGGGGGAAGCCATTGTAATCCATATTCTGTACTTTGGAAATTTATATTCATTAAATGAAAGTTTAAAAAAATATATAAATATTTTAATTACTATCTTTCACATGGTCGCTTGGATCTTTGTTTTTTTCCTAAAGATATGGGTAGCTTTAAGATTAAGCTTTAATGACATTAAATATCTTTTTTTATTTTTTTTTAATTTTTGACAGGCAGAGTGGACAGTGAGAGAGAGAGACAGAGAGAAAGGTCTTCCTTTTGCCATTAGTTCACTCTCCAATGGCCACCGCGGCCGGCGCGCTGCGGCCGGCGCACTGCGCTGATCGGATGGCAGGAGCCAGGTACTTATCCTGGTCTCCCATGGGGTGCAGGGCCCAAGCACTTGGGCCATCCTCCACTGCACTCCCAGGCCATAGCAGAGAGCTGTCCTCATGGGGTGCAGGGCCCAAGCCCTTGGGCCATCCTCCACTGCACTCCCCGGCCATAGCAGAGAGCTGTCCTGGAAGAGGGGCAACCAGGACAGAATCCGGCGCCCCGATCGGGACTAGAACCTGGTGTGCTGGCGCCGCAGGGGGAGGATTAGCCTATTGAGCCACGGTGCCGGCGACATTAAATATCTTTATTACAGCCACATTATGCCCCTATTGTATCATTTTCCTATAAAACTTCATCATGTCTTCTTGTCACTTCCCCTCATTATTTGCTTATCTTGTATTCTTTTTTATTTACTTAATTATTTAAGACATAAAAGGATCAATTAATTCAAAAGATACTATCAGTTGTCTAAACATATTTCTTTATTATCAAAAACAAATAAAACTTTTCATTTAAAATTCAAAGTAATATACCAGATAATTAGAATGTTTCCAAACAACTTTATGGAAGCTACTAAACAGTTCATAGAGACAATGTTTACCTCAACAATTCCATATAATAATATCAATTACTTACATTTTTTATTTTCTACTCATCATATGAATTTCTACATGACATTCTAATTTAGTATTATTAATGGGTAAACCCCAAGCTAGGAACTTGATTAAAATGAGACCTCAGACTTTTTGAATCAACTCTTTTCATACATTCTATTTTTAGAACAAGTTATATAAAGTGTGGTCTATCCAATAGGGTGAATGTGATGAAATGCATTAAACCTCACCAGTGAGAAAGATACCCATTAGTCAAATTGTGCTTTTAATCTGTAAAGGCATTACCTCATGAGTCATTTAGAGGAAAGGGTAGAGTTTCCTCTCAAAGTCATTGCAGCATGAAAAGTAACATTTAGAAGGTAGAGTGCACAAAATGAGATTTACCTCCCAGGTAGAAGTATTTTCCCATGAGAAAGTATACCTTCTATTAAAAAGAAATCAACAGTATGCTTTGACTATTTCATCATGTGAGAACACCTTGAAACTTCTGATTTCATTAATAATATATCTTATATTCTCAATGCAAAAAACCAGGCTATGTGAATAAAGATTTTATTAAAATATGGCAAAGGGATGTGATTTTGTTTAAGAAAATGGTATATATAGGTTGTTTAACTTGAGTCTGGAAGTTTTTATATAAGATTTTTTAATAAAAAATTAGGTCAAAGCATAGGTAGTTGGAAAGCACTAGGTAATTAAAATTGATGGCTTGTCTCATATCTTTGTCTTACGATGCACTGGCTTCATACACAGAATTCCAAAAATCTATGTACTTGATTAAATATTTAAAAACCTAAAACTATAATTGTACTGCCATTTTGTGATGTCAAATTATTCCCAAGATAAAACTACTCCTTTCACACAGTGATTGTTTTAAAAAATAGATGACTATGGAAAAGTCATAACATAAAAGACAAGTATCATCAGGTCTTTTCCAAACAAAATATTTGCGTGTCAGTCTTCCCATTGTAAATGTAGAATTTTATAAATCCTTACCCAGGGGTCAGTGTTGGGGAAAAGAGGGTTATGCCACTGCTTACAACACTGGCATCCCATACCAGTTTGAATCCTGGCTGCTTCACTTCTGATTCTTCTTCCTGCTAATATCCTCTAGGAAGACAGCAGAAGAAGACCCAAGCACTTGTGTCCCTGGTCTCGTGGGAGACCAGGATGGAGCTCCTGGTTCCTGGTTCCTGGTTTCTGGCCCAGCCCTGGCTACTGCAGCCATTTGGGGAGTGAATGAGCAAATGGAATATCTCTCTCTCTCTCTCACTCTCCCACTCTCTCTCTCTCTCTCCCATATCTATCTGCCTACCCTCCTTCCCTCTCTCTGTCACTCTATCTTTCAAAGAAACAAATCAACAAATCTTTAAAAATAAAGAGGTAAATCTTTACCTATTACCTAATACTATTTTGAGAATAAATTGAAATAATGAGTATGAAAGTATTGGAAATCTGAACCATATCATTGTAATAAAATAACTACATGAGGGAATTTGAAAATGTTCAGCTCAGAGGGAAGACTAAGACTGGATAGGATAGATGACATCAAATATTTCAAACTGAATCATGGAAGTGAGTACAACTTGCCATATTACCTCTAATACATGTGTGCATATGTGTCTGTGTGTGCAGGATGTGTGCCCCAATAAATAGAAATAACTGAAAAATCTATTTGGGCTCACTAAAGCAAAAAGGAAAATATTTCTAATAAACTTTTTGGAAGCCATGCAGTACCTGGCACTAGAGATATTCAAATGTAAGTTAGAAGTCATTATTATAAGAATACTGGGAAGAAAGTGCATATATCAAATTGACAGCTGAGCTCAATGGTCTGCAGAGCCCCTTCTAAAGTTAAGAATCTGTGTTTGAAACATGTCAAGCTTAATGGTTGTTATTTTCACTGTGCTTTGTGTAAGTATCCAAACCACCTGAAGCATAGGCTATGTGAACCTATAAGGTCCCCTTAAAAAGGCAAAATTCTTGCTTATACTGTATGTCTACAGTATAGAAGAAGTAGGTGAGCAGAAATGTTAGGAGTAAGCAAACCAAGAAATACACCTGACAAAGTAAATTTGCAAAATGCTAGAAGACAAAGCAGGAAGTAGAGGTACAAAGAGAAAGATGAAGTTATATAATAGAGTTGCTTTTTCCCAAACCTACACACAATGGAAAAAAACAGATAATTGTATGCTTTGAATTTAATCAAACTAATAGGATCTGTGATGATAGGGTCTTTATATTTAAACATGAGTAGTTAAGACTTTTTCCAAAAATGTTAAAGTAAGTAATTAACTAAGTAATTTATTATAATTATCAAGCAAATACATGAATCAGGAATTACTTACTATATTACATGCAGTCTAATTTAGTCAGGTCCTAACCCTTTTTCCTTAGTATCAGTGTTGTTATTGCTGCTTTTGCATGAATTTCCTAGTTAATGTCCTCCAAGTTCTGTATAGTTGCCTCTCTGGGAACATCCTAAAATGCTGTAAACACAATGGAAAAATGCAGAAAATATTCTAAAAATTTTAGCAACATCCAACCTTTGCTAAGAGGCCTGGAACCGCCTGTTAAGACCAAATCCTCCATTACCAAATTCAGAGCATACCCAACATTAAATCAAAGAGACACACATTTTTATTTAATTAACATGTTGGGATGTTTTGTTGCTAGGGATTGGAGTTATAAAGATAAAAATCATCACTAAGGATATCTTGTGGTCAAAAAGACGCATTTTTGATTTCTCCAACTCTCACCCCTATATATATATGTATGTGTGTGTGCATGTGTGTGTATAGTATATTTACAATTGAATACATAGTATATACATATATACATCTAGTTACCTAGGTGAACAATATTTTACTAGTATAGAATTATATAAATAGGTAAATAAGGTAAACATTATTTCTGAAACACATTAAATATAGTATCATGTGAACTAATATATTTGAGTTAGAGCAAATAATAATTCTGTAAAGTTGACTATATATAAAATTTCTATAAAATCCGAATCCTAGCCACTAGACCACCAGGGAATCAGCCCTAAAGGCATTCGGATCTGGCTGAAAAGCCCATGAGAGTATTTCAGGCATGGAAAGCCAAGACACTCTGGCAAAAGATCTCTGTGAGTGAGATCCCAGTGGAAAGAACAGGTCTTCAAAGAAGGAGGTACCTTTCTCTGAAGGGAGGAGAAAACCTCCACTTTGACTATGACCTTGTCTAAACAAGATAAGAGTCGGAGAACTCAGAGGGCTTCCATAGCCTTGGAAACTCATGACTGGAGCATAGGGAGATTACTGATGCCATAGACAGGAGTGTCAATTGGTAAAGTCAACAACAGGAGTCACTGAGCACTTACTCCTCATGTAGGATCTCTGTCCTTAATGTGCTGTGCATTGAGATTTAATGCTATAATGAGTACTTAAACAATATATTTCACTTTGTGTTTCTATGTGGGTGCAAACTGTTGAAATCTTTACTTAATGCATACTAAACTGATCTTCTGTAAAAAAAAAAAAAAAAAGAAGAAATTATCAATTCCCAACTTGACTCTCACTGGGATTAAACATGACAATAGGTCTGATCTGATTTCATCATCATTTAAAAAAATCATCTATTATTTTTCACTTTATGTTTCTGTGTGGGAGCAAACTGTTGAAATCCTTACTTAATGTATACTAAGCTGATCTTCTGTATATTAAGATAATCGAAAATGAATCTTGATGTGAATGGAAGGGGAGAGGGAGTGGGAAAGGGGAGGGTTGTGGGTGGGAGGGACGTTATGGGGGGGAAGCCATTGTAATCCATAAATCGTACTTTGGAAATTTATATTCATTAAATAAAAGTTAAAAAAAATTAGATATCTAGAAATACAATTAGCCAAAGAAATGAAAGATGTTTATCATGAAAATCATTAAATGCTGATAAAATAAATCATCAAAGACACACAAAAAGAAAAAAAAATTTCTATAAAATCCAATAAAAAGAATTTATTTTATTATCATTTCTTATATTACCTTTTAATTATAAATAAATGAAAAGTCAATTTTAGGTGAATATAGAAATATAGTTAAACTGTGTCTTGCCTAAAAAGCTGAGTCATTATCATTCAAACATCTCACAGAAATGGGGACTCTAGTGAAATACAAAGTTCTTGAAGTGCTAAGAAAAAAAAAAAAGGTCATCCTCTAATAAAAGCAGCAATGGTTTGTTCATTCCTCTCCCTTTTTTTTCTTCTTAGCCACCAGAACCCACTAAAATAGTTATGCAAGCTATAAATCATTTCATCAGAATGAAAAAGTTCAGAAAAAAAATCAAAATATTCAACTGGCTAGAAACCATAAACAAAACAAGGTTCAAATTAAAATTCTGAACTAACAAGATGATTACAGTTATTTGTGTTTTATTAACATAAAATATATTTAATTTGTGGCAACTAAATAGAGCGCCGATGAAGGCATAAAATGAAAATTTGCCTTTTTCTTAGTAACTCAATGTGATAATATGAGCACCACGTGTCAGCTCAACTGAGACACAGTGGCAAACAGCAGTCATACCTGGTTCTTTATCCCTTTGTTTCAATGTCTTCATCTCCATCATGAATCTTGACTCTGAAGATGAGAAAGGCCAAGGAAGAATGAGATGGGCTGCACGTGGAGAGGGACAAGTCAAACAGTTCTGTGGAAGAATAGCCGGGCAAGAAGAGGAACCCTCCAGGCAAGTAGGATCCTTCAGCCTCAGGCTATTTTATGAGATTGAGAACTCAAAAGAAATTTTTATAAATTATTTATTTAGCTGAAAGGCTGAAAAAAATGAGAGAGAGAGATGGAGAGAGAAATCCCCCATCCTCTGCTTCACTAACTAAATGCCTGAAACAAGTAGGGCTGGACCAGGTTGAAGCCAGAAAGCTGAGAATTCAACCAAACTTCAGGGACCCTAGAACCTGACTATCATCTGCTGGTTCCCAGGGCGCACATTAGCAGAACGCTCGAATTAAGTGCAGAGCCGGGGCTCAAACCCAGACACTGGATTATTGGATGTGGACATTCCAAGCTGCATCTTAACCACTTCTCCAAACACCCACCTCAAGATTGACTCTTTTCAACACGTATTTATGAAGATGCACTTAGATTGAAAGTCACAATCAAGAGAGAGTAGTGTGTACCCCAAATCAGCCTGACTTCAGTTCCACTCAGATGCTTAAGCTGTGAAGCCAGATTCAGACACACACTTCTGTGGTCCTCACATGCATGCTAACAGATCTAAAATACAGATTCCCAGCCTCTTGAGTTGGAACCCCAAGAGTTACTTTTTAACAATAACCCAGCTGATTTATTCTGAAACTCAGTGACATCTGTCATGAAAGATGATTGATTCTTAAACTATCAAATCCAACTACCTTGCTCAAAAAAGGGTGTCTCAAATGATTTACGAAGACCAATAGCATTGTGCTTCACTTTCAGTTTATTATCTTCATGAACACCTTCTTCTAGGACCTGGGTCTTCTCTATTTCTAATTCCCCAGGGCCAACACAATTACTTGGTATTTGGAACAAAGTACATGACAAGCATATATGAAGGGATTGCTTTCTCCCATTGTCCCAGTCTTAGAGTTGTTTTTTTTTTTTTCTTTACTTTTTTCCTTCTCTTCTTCATATCAGTCTTCCACTTGAGTAGCAGGAACACAAGTAGTTGGATCATCAACTCAGGCACATTGGGATAAAGCTGGATTGGAGCCGTAGATTAGCCAGGACTCAACAAGACACTTCAACAGGGAATGTGGGCATCCTAAGGAGCACCTTTAACCTGCTGTACATTGTTGCTCACTCCTCCACAAACTGTTTGAAGTACCCTCACTGTTGGCAGTCAGCTGGATGGAACATTGGGCCTTGCCAACATTTACACATGTTTGAGGCTCTCTTGGGCATCTTCTAACCTCAAGAAGGCAGCCAGGCAAAGACCCAGCCTTATGTTGTCCTTTGCCATTGGCAGCAGCAGCAGCAAACACAGCAGCAATGAGTGAGAGAGGAGCAACTTGGAAAGAAATGCCTCCCAGCAGGAAAGGACCGTGGGTGGAAGGCCAGCTGGGAGCCTTCATCTTCTGGAGCCCATCCATGAAGTATGTACACCAATACTGACTCTGGCTTATGCACAGGGACAGGAACTTCTAGTGCTCAGACAACATATTTTGCTAGTAAATTATTACAAATTAAAATCAGGGAAGTGTTAAGATAAAAATATGATTTTTCAAAAAATGTTATAATCTCTTTTTAGAATTGCTTGAACATTGCAAAACAACTATCTGCAGACTTAGAAATTAAGTTTGCAGGGCCAGTGTTGTGGCTCAGCAGGTAATGCTGCCACCTGCAATACTGACATCCCATATGGGCATTGGTTCATGTCCTGTCTGCTCCACTTCTGATCCAGCTTCCTGGTAATAGCCCAGGAAAAGCAGCAGAAAATGGACCAAGTACTTGGGCCCCTGCTACCCGTCTGGGAGACCCGGATGAAGTTCTTGGCTTCTGGCTTTCACCTGGCTCAGCTCTGGCTTTTGCAGCCATCTGGGAAGTGAACCACTGGATGGAAGATCTCCCTCTCTGCCTCTCCCTCTTTGTAACTCTGACTTTCGAAAAAAATAAATTAATTAAAAAATATTAGTTTACTGCATCTGATAGGAAAAAAAAAAAGTCCTCTTTTCTTCTTGCATCCACTGGTTTACTTTCCAAATGACCAAGAAAGCCAAGTCTGGTCCAGGCCACTCCAGGGTCCCAGAACTTTATCCAGGTCTCCCACATGGGTGACAGGGAACCAACAACCCCTTCCACTGCTTTCCCATGCATATGAGCAGGGAGCTGGATTAGAAGCAGCATAGCCAGAACTCCTGTATGGGATGCTGGCATCCCAAGTGGAAGCTTAACCCACTGTGCCACCAGACCTGCCTCCAAAAGGTGCTCTGTTAATTTCTAAAGTTTTCTATATACCCAAAGATATAGTGGAAGAATTATAGACAAAATATTTCAATTATATACAAATCATGAACATACTTTCAGTCTCTTGTCCAACCTTCCTAAAATACAGAAATGTTAGAGGAAGAATTAGCATGCAATTGTAGAAGTGGTCAATTATTTCAAACTTATAAAAACTGATTTACTTGAATTCTTTTAAGATTTTATTTTTCAAATTCTAGCTGTGTTCCCAATTCTAGTTTCCTGCTAACACACACCTGCAAGTCAGTAGATTATGACTCAAGTACTTGGCTCTCCATGCCTTTCTTGCAGAAGACCTGAATTTAACTTCCAGTTCTATACTTCAGCTTTGCCCAGTTTCATGTGCAGTGGGAATTTGTGGAGTGAACTAATGGGTGTGAGATCCCTATGTTTTTCTATTACTCTGCCTCTCATGTAAGTAAATAAAATACATTTTATTCAAAAAATTACATGGACTTCTGTATGGTTTTTATTTTGTCATCAATTTAATTCTCAGGAATTAAAGTCAAATTTTTAAAAATCCTGTCACTATGGACATTTGGACACCCAAAGACAGTGATGAATTCAGTTGATGTTACTAATTTAGGGGACAAGTATGGCAGAACAGATACATCCACCACTAGCAACACCAGCATCCCTTTATGTGCACCAGTTCATATCTCAGCTGTGCAACTTCTGATCCAGCTCAGGGCTACTGGACAGGGAAAAGCAGCAGAAGATGGCCCAAGTCTTCTGGCCCCTGCCACCCACGTGGGAGGCTTAGATGAAGCTCCTGGCTCCTGGCTTCAGCCAGGAATAAGCCTATGGACAAAAGACCTCTGTGTGTGTATGTGTGTTTGTGTGTGTGTGTGTGTCTTTCTCTCCTGTAATTCTGACTTTCAAAATAAAACTTAAAAAAAGAACTAATTAGAGGAATATTTTAAGCAAGAAACTTGGGAGAATCTATCTCAGAATTACAAAATTTTGAAGTTAGAAAGAACTTCAGAGATCTGGTTCAATGTTTCTCTCTTTTTTTTTTTTTAATTTTTTGACAGGCAGAGTGGACAGTGAGAGAGAGAGACAGAGAGAGAGAAAGGTCTTCCTTTGCCGTTGGTTCACCCTCCAATGGCCGCCGCGGCCGGCGTGCTGTAGCAGCCGCACCGCGCTGATCCAATGGCAGGAGCCAGGTACTTCTCCTGGTCTCCCATGGGGTGCAGGACCCAAGGACTTGGGCCATCCTCCACTGCACTCCCTGGCCACAGCAGAGAGCTGGCCTGGAAGAGGGGCAACCGGGACAGAATGCGGCGCCCTGACCAGGACTAGAACCCGGTGTGCCGGCGCCGCAAGGCGGAGGATTAGCCTAGTGAGCTGCGGCGCCGGTCCAATGTTTCTCAAAATATACTTTATGGACAACTCATCCTATACCATACTCCATTGTAAAAGGCTTCTGTGAAAGTCAGCTCGCAAAAACCATACTTTAAGTACCATTCCTTGGTGACTGCCTGTGAATAACAGGAAATGAACTATTCAGTTTTAATAAACCAGCCTATTTGTATTCCATAACTTTTCAAATTCCCAAGTGTACACCATTCACCTGGGCTTCTTGTGGAAACGCAGATTCTGATCCAGAATGGCTAAGGTGGGGCCCTGAAATCGGTTTTTTTAGCATGCTCCTACAGGATCGAGATTCCTTCAGTCCCGGGTCACATCTGAGAGAGCATAGTGCCTTTTCCTGCAGTGCAAGGGTGCGAGTATGCAGACACTTGGAGCCATTTAGGTTATGAACATGTTGATAGACTTCAAAATCAACTGATATATTGTCACTAAACACTGAACAGTGCCTGCTTTCCAACTAACCCTGTTCTTCCCCGACCTCCCCAGGATCCATCAAGGAACCTCAAGCCCCTCACACCACTGGCCACTGAAAAGCCCCTCAGAACTGTAGCCAGCATTCGTTCTGTTTGGTCATTGACAGGCTGGCTGGTTGCTAACTGTTTCATAGCACATTTCCTTGGCAAAAGGAGGGCCAGACAGAGGCTCCGGGCAAAACTATGTTGACTCTATGGAAAGGATTCAAGAATTGATGCGGTATAGTCCCATGCTTATCTATCTCCTCTTTCTCCAGACTCATTCCATCAAGGGTACTTTTCAGAGACACTTTGATCTACTTCACTCTATTCATTTTGCCAATGTGAGAAATGGAGATCAGAGGGTTGCAGTGCCAGAAATCAGTTCTTCCCGCTCCCGCAAAAGCCATGCCCAATTGAATTTTCCTCAAATAAAAGACTATTTAGTTTGGCTGTCAGATGGTGGTGACAACCTATAAAGCTTATATTGGGAACCAGTTGCACTATTTGAATTAGCATTACTTGAAAGAGAAATTTTTGCAGTCATCATTCAGTATTCGGTATCCAAGGGGGACCGGCTCCAGGATCCCCACGAATACCAAACCCTGTGAATACTCAAGTCCCTCGTATAAAATGGCACAATATTGGCATTAATCTACACACATCATCCCATAAACTTTACATCTCTAGACCACTTATAATACCTAACACGGTGTAAACGCTGTGTAATTCTTGTTATACTGTATTGCTTAAGGAATAATGCCAAGAAAAAGTCTATACATGTTCATTTCAGAAGCT